AACAAGAATATGATCAGAAACTAAGAGCTCAACAACAAGAGCATGAAGACAGACTTTCAACTCTGAAGGAAGAGCACCAAGACAAACTGACTGCTCAAAAAGAAGACCACAATGTAAACGTAAGAAATTTAAAGTATGAGCATCAGTCCAAACTACAGGATGTGAAAGAAGAGTATGATGTGAAAATGAAAAGCCTGTGTCAAGAGCATAATGACAGACTAAAGGATATCAGACAAATACACAATGAGGAAATCAAAGCTCTGACAAAACACAATGTATTGCAAGGGGGTATAGCGTTTATAAGTTTCTTATTATTTTTACTTCAATGTTTAACATTAGCTTTTCAGAAATGATGCAGCTTGTGAGGAAGCTATAAATGATTCACACAGTACACAGTGTGTGAGAAACAGTTTGTATGTACAGGTACTTACATGTTAATTAATTCTGTACCCTTCTCTCACAGTAAGTGTTTATTTGACTAAAGGTTTTAACTTAAATGTTTAGGATTGAGATATTTAAATGTGCTACATGTACTTTGGTTTTGTCTTTCCTTACAAGTGCAGACTTTTGCATAATGATTAAATAATATAATATACTGAATATGACGAAAATATTGTTGTGTTGTGAGCACAGAAGCTCAAAGTTTTATTTCTCATTTTTTGTTTGATAGTTGATTAAAATGTGCCATTAGTCAATTTGCAAATAAAAGGCTGTAAAATGATTTGATATTATTAAAGCATACTTTTAGTGTAAGTCTCATAACCGTTCTCATATACTGACCAAATGCAATTTTAACCCCAGGGGTCCTAAACAAAACAACTTTAGACAGAAATCTAACAATAAAGCTACCTTCATCCCATTAAATACTTTTTTTACTCTTTTTACAAAGAGATTTTGCATAATTGCATATTAGGAAGTCCCAATTTCCAGTCTTGGTAGCCGGGGCTCAGTCCGCCAGGGTCTCCACTCCTGCCGCCACCCAGCACACAATGCACCCGACCCCTACGGTGCCTCCAGTGGGTGGTGGGCCTGCAGGAGGATGGGCCTGTAGTGGCGAATTTCTGTTCCAAGCTTTGATAAAAATAATTCTTCCACTTCTTAATGTGAGCTGTCCAGATTTATTTCTGACTCGTACATACAAACAAACGATGTCACAGTCAAAAAACTATTTGCTGCTACAGCGCACAATTCCATTGCCGTCCTGGCTCATTCTAACCTGCTACCACACATGCGTTGTAATGTTTTCTTACCCGACACAAATTAAACGCGCAACATATATTCTCTAACAACATATTATACAAAATCAAACATAACTGAAACTGTATGAAAAATATTTCTCGATAGATTGGCTCTAACGGGGCCCATGTCCCTTTTTGGCCTGTGCCCAGCCAGGCCCCATGGACTAAGGCCCGGCCACCAGACGCTTGCCCTCGCGCTGCCTCCCAAGGCCTGGCTCCAGGGCGGGGCCCCGGTAACCCTATCAAGGTGAACTGTTCCCTTGGTGTTCCGCTCATAGGGGTCTTCTGAATCGCTCTTTGTCTGGTCCCTCATACCATGTTTCCTCTCAAATTTTTTCAGGGAAATCTCTGATGGTCAGGTTGACATTTGATGAATTGACATGGAATGACTGATTTACACATGACACAAAAAGAGATGTGCTGATATATGTATACACCCCTACTAAAACCAAAAGCTGATTAGCAGACAGAACAACAACTGAAATAACATTTAAGCTTCCCTAATGAATTAATAATAAAAACGGAAAAAAAAAATCCCAAACTTTCATTTCTATTTCGCTTATAAGAAGTTGGAAAAACTGCATGAAATGAAATATAGCACACTAGTTCTCACCAGGTGAGTTTTTTATTTAATGCCACTGTGAGCCTTCAAACATGAAACCGATTTGAGCCTAAGCAGTAATTAGGGCTGTGCAATATCCCGATATAAGAATTCTATTGTCCGATAACGATATAAATCAGAAAAATGTAACATTTTCTGTAAATTCTGTGAATCTCGTGCAGCTCGACTTGCGTGAAGTGTTTCCAGCTGAGCATTGTGTAGCTGGAGTCGAGTGTTTTAACCGATGCATGAAACGATACATTTTTAGACATAAGTTGTAAAGGCCGCCGTTTTCTTTGTGAGTATTTATTACACGGCGTGCTGCGGGGAAAAGCCTGTTCTAACGTTTGAGTCTAAGGTTTCTTTTTTAGCACCTGGCGGCTCTTTTTTACTTCTCATCTGTAAATAATCTGCTCTTTCACGTGATTCAGTTTATTTTAAAAAGTCTCAACAGAATCTTGAGCTTTATTGTGAAAGGTTTATATGGAACATAAACAAGCGGACACGCGATGCTGTTGCCGTCGTTGTTGCTAACGACAACGCATAAAAACAGGCGCTTTTCCGTCCGTAGTGTGGTTATATTAAATATAAGAGAAAGAGAGAACTTTAAGAAATTAATATAGCCACTACAGTGACCATCAAAACCATGAAAAAATATTGCCGTAAACAGTTTATTTTGCAACACCAAACAAGCGATAGCGTAAAATGAAACAATAGATGTTTTTATATCGTCATCCGATATATATCGTTATATCGAACAGCCCTACCAGTAATACAGGGAAGGAAATCCTTTTTGCGCATCAATCACCAGGGGATGTTGCATAAAAAGAGATGACATGTGCCAAAGTCAGGGTTTAAAGTGGGCCGGAATTTGTCTGTTTGTTTGTTCTTTGCCACAGCACCGGAACGACTGCAGCTGTCCATAAGTTGCAGTTGCGGTACATCAGCTAAGACTAGCTAAGGCAAACATACAGAACACAAGCTGTGGCAGGGCGTGGTCTGCGGTGCCGCTCCAGTGGAGATGGACACACATGACGGCATCGGCAATCATGCCTTGCCGGCATAAAAAGCTCTTCCTGACTGTCATAGTTGTTGTTGGTATGTGTTCGGCTGAAAAGCTGCAGCCATGTGTGTTTGTGAACAGCAACCGTGTGTAATAAAGAATGCTGAAAAGCATTGAATTGTGGATCGGTCTGCCGTGTGATTATTGCAGTGGTGCCAAAACCCAGGAGGGGGGGCACAGCAGACCAAGAACCAGGCCAGCCAGGGAAGGAGCTGGCGGCCATGCAGCGAGAGCAAGCGGCAGTGTTATTGTGAGTTGTGATTCTTTTCCCCACACTGAGCCATTACAACCAATTTAAGGTTCCTCCACCTGCTGAATCCACTTTAACCCCTTCCCTACTCATTTTTCTGTTTAGAGGCAAAATCACCCTCTACAGTGTAGGTGACAGAAAATCAAGCATGACAGTGAGATCGAAGACATGAAGCAAAAACAACAAGAGAGAGACTACAAGAGAGACTTTGAGAGACTGAAGAAAAAACAAGAACAAGAAGTGGATGAGCTCAATTACAATCTTTCTATAGAAAATGAGGGCGAGCCAAATGAAGAAGATATCAACCAACTACAGCTTGAACATGATAAACAAATCAATGACTGGATAAAAGAATATGCACAGAAAGCTGAAGAAGGCTTGCACCATTTTATGAGACGGGCTCTTTTACCTGAATGTCACAACAGCAGCATAGTTTGAGTTAACTTTGATAGCTTTTGGTTTTAAAGCATTCAAATAACAAATACAGTAAGACTTCATTGTTTTGGTACAATATACTCATTCTTTTATCTAATCCCATAAGTGTATTAATTAGTTTTAATCAAGCTTTTGCGTGCAAATACTAAATTTTAGATAAGCTTGTTCCAAAAAGGTCTGTCAGCTTTTTCAGAAAGGGACATACTCTCAAAGACATAATGCAGAAAATGTTAGCTGCAAAGTAAAAGCATGGATCATTAATCTTATGTAAATATTTCAGTACATTTTTATAACTGTATTTTTACAGCAAAAAGCAATAACATTTTTTCATTCAAATACCCTTTTCTTTGGTTCTCATGTGTTTGTTATTTTGAGAAGATACTATATTGTATTATACTGCAAAGCTTTTTTTTGCTGCCCGTGGGATTGTAAAAGGCATTAAAACATGTTGCATGTATGAGGTTAGTCTGTAAAGAGATAGTAGTGTGAGTAAATCATTCATCGGTCATTGATATGAATGAATGCTCACCATTCATTGATGCAGCATCATTCATTTCAATGTTTTATCATTAAGTGTTACTACTGCGCAACTTTCAACAAAGAATTAAAGGAAAGCTGAGAACTGAAACTAAACTGAAACTGAGTTTTCAGTTCTGCAAATATCAGTCGCTTGTCTGTCTGTAGTGTGGTTATTTTAAATCTAGGAGAAAGAGAGAACTTTAAGAAATTAATATAACCATTACAGTGACCATCAAAACGACAAAAAAATATTGCTGTAAACAGCTTATTTTGCGACACCACGAAACAAACAATAGCGTATAATATGAAACGATAGATGTTTTCATATCATCATCCAACATATACATCATCCAACATATATTGTCATATCGAACAGCCCTAACCTATATTATTTAATGAAAGATTTTTTTATTTACTTATTTTATCTTCCAAGATCATTAAAAGACCCACACTTAAATTAGTTGACCTTAGACAACCTTCTTGGAATATCTAAAGGGCAGGGTTTTGCACAGACATGGTTTCATTTCCACTTCAACCAAAACTAGTTGACAGCACAGGAATAAGGGACTGGTAACAGCAGTCGGGGGAGGTTTTTTCTTTTACTTTGGAAATTCCTGCCTTAACAAAGTTCTACCTTTTGATTCCGAAAAAAGTGATTAGTTTTTTGTGTGGCTTGTTTTTAACATTTAAGAACCCTGAGGAAGATTGACACATACAACTGGTGAGTAAATAAACAAATAAAAAACAAAGAAAATTTATTAATATAGTAAGCAAATTCAGTGTTTGTACAGTACGATTAAACTTATCAAGAATATTAAGGGATTCAGTGCATAAGACATTGCAGAACATTAGGCTAAGAAATACTGAAGTGCTGTAGATTTTCATTAACAAACACGTATGAGAAGAAAGTATAATAAGTAGGCTATTAAAACTTTCAATTCAGTATTTTTAAAACATATATAGACAATCAACCAGAAAACAATAAATACAAAGAATAAAAAATAATCCTCCAAAATCTATCCTCCTGTTTAAGTGTGTCTGACTGAGAAGAAGCGAAAGGGAAAGTTTGTTTTGAATCATCTATCAAATATTGGAGACTTATTTAGAAAAAAACGTTTTGAGCTTGAGTTCCTGTCCATGGACTTCTCCCTGTACTACAGTAAAATAGCAAATGACAAAGTTCACAGGTTAGAGTCAAATGTCAACCATATATATTCACCACTGTAATAGTCTCACGTCTGTCAAATTCTTTGTCAATATTCTTGATATTTATAATTGAGCAATTTGTATATATTAGTGCAATTTCTTAAATTTGTAAACTATTAACATATTGTATTATTTAATTAGTTTAGTCTGATACTGTTACTGTCTTGGAGCAACTGTAACCCACATCATTTCCTTAGGGATTAATAAAGGATTCTGATGATTCTGAAAATGTGATTGAAATGCAGACTTTCAGCTTTAATTTGAGGAGTTTAACTAAAAGTATTGCATCTGCAGTTTGTGAATTACAGCAGAGTTTTGTTGTTGTTTTTAAATATAGTCCCTCATTTTCAGAGGCTCAAAGTTAAATGGACAAACTGACATAATTTTAAATATCAGGATTTTTTCAACAAAATAAGATAAAATAATCATTTTGTAATGAGTCTGAATAAGAAAAGTCCAATAGTATCACAAGCTGGAATTTTTTTTACAAAGGTCACGATGTACAAACAGTAGAAAATAGGAAGCAAGCAACTGCAGTCATGTGCGTCGAGGGTGATTTCAACAGGGATGTGTGTGTCTGTGTGTGTGGGTTGGTGGGTGTGTTCCTCCCTTCCTCAGTCCACTCTGAGACTTACCCCAAACCGCATCCTCAATTCGCACTCACGCTACCTAGCATTATCTACTAGAAATGGCATCAAACCTAAAAGAATCAAATCAAATCAAATCAAATCAATTTATTTATATAGCACTTTTCACAGGATAAAAACCACAAAGTGCTTCACAGTAATATAAA